TAATTATAAGTAGGTAGGGCCGGGCAGGTTGGCACAGTCTCAGGTCGGGCAGGCGCGTTTCGCGTGCACAACCTGTTTCAGGAAATATAATTTGAATAGTCGACGGTGAAGCTGGCACGTTTGGGTGTTGCCATTCGTCACTAGCCTTACCTATCGATTTTTTCAAATTTTCGTCGCGGTCGCGGTCGTGATCGAACGTGTATGTGCTCGAGTTTCTGCACTTGCGCACGAGTAACGATCACTCGATCGTTGCTTGTCCATGTGAGTCTTGATTAGCTGCACGGTTTGTATTTTTTTTTTTCTCCGTTTAGAGAATCTCGAGCCTAGATATAAGTTTCAGCGGGCATGGCGCCCGAAGAGAGAAGAAGAGGCTATTAGGTACCCGACAAACTGTCATGAAGAGGGTACCAAGGAATGGCTTCCTATCCTTTGGATGAGAAATCATTCTTGTCACTATTTTGTCACTATGCTCATATGTAGTAGTATGTAGAAGTAGTAGTAGTTTGTTTAGTGGCCCATGTTAATCGGTCCATCATCCTGTTTGGGCACATCGCGATTTTTGTACTTAGTGTTGCGAGTAATTAATCACGGGTTGATTTAGTGTTGCGAATTATGAGATCGCGATTTTTTTTGATTTCTTTTACATGAATTCTTTTTTTTGAAAGATATTTTTTCTTAGACACTAATATTTATTAGCTTTATAGTGTTGCGACTTGTATTAATCGCGGATAGTCAGAAAAATCAAATATCTTTTTCTGTATATACATATTTTATCTTTTACTGGTTTCATATTAAGAATTAGTGTTGCGCTTTACTTGCATCGCGGTTTTTCTTATTTGTTTTATTATTAGTGTTGCGTTAAAGAATGATCGCGTTTCTTGAAGTAGTGTTGCGAATATAGAATGCCCAAAATTTCACCACTGATGTGGTGAAAATATGTTCCTGTTCCTGGGAATCACCTGTTGCAACTACAAGAGTTGCATATAGGTGGTCATACATCAGCAGCCAGAGCCATGACTGCCCTGGATTTTTCGTCACTAGTGTTGCGAATTTTTTTGATACGAGTGCAAAAATTAGTATTTACTAGTGTTGCGTTAACAATTAAAATATCTTTTTATTATGATCATTATCGCGATTTACTTTTTTCTTTTTTTTTAATGTTTTTCTTTTGTAAATGCTAAATTGATTTTTATTTTAAATATCATGAAGCACTCTTCGCGGTTAATTTTGAAAATTGTCCGTTATCAAGCAATTTAGTAAGTTAGTGTTGCGAAATTACAGTTTATTTATTTCACTCACGGTCTTTTCCCGTGTTCATATCGAGTGGAAATATTTGTTTTTGTGGCTATTTTGGCCACCATTGTATTTTCTTTTTCAGCACCCTTTTCCCCTGAAATATTTGTTAATGAAAATACTGCTGTAATATATATATGTCTGTTTTCCATCCCTTTTTCCTTCTATTTATCTTCTTTTGGAATCTTCGAATTTTGGCTTGCATTAAAAAATATTTATTCCCGGTATGCGTTTATTTTGCAAGAGAAATCTTGGAAAATAATCGTTTTATATATGTAATTCCGACTCTTCGTGGATCTAATA